TGTCCTGCTCTCAAGCTTTTACTGGATGATCAGCGCCTCAGGCCATAGAGTACAACATGTACAAGCTCAGAGGCACAAATGCTTCATTTGCTGGCTCAATCTGCGAGGGATGAAATTTGTGCTGAAATTAAGTCAGCCGGTGTATTTTCTGTGTCTTCAGACACTACACCTGATACATCGAATGAAGACAAGCTTATCGTTGCTGTAAGATATGTCAACCAGTTGGGCATCCCACGCGACAGACTGTTCTAAATGAAAGAGAGTCTTAATAAAACTGGTGCTACAACAACTAAACATGTCATAAAATCTATAATGGAAAATGAAATCGATATAGATATGTTTGCATTTTAAACATACGAATTCACAACATCAATGTCTGGACGACTTAATTGTGCTCAAAAAGTATAGCAAGAAATTTTAAAACGACATGTGCCTTACATCCCTTGCCAGGGACATCGGTCTAATACATTCAACGAGCATTGTTGCAAACATAGCTCAATAATTACATCAATGTACGAAGCTCTAGAAGACGTATATGTGTTTTTTAGCAAAAGCACAAAAAGAAATAAAATTATAGAAGAAAGTTGCAAAGATGTTGAAAACAATTTCGAAACTTGTCAAAGACGAGATGGGTTTGCAATTCTGAGTCCATTGATGCTGTCTGGAGAAATTATGAGGCAATACCAAATGCTATTGTGAAAGTTATTAAAGCCCAAGATGTAGAATCAAAAGTAAAAGCTAAAGGCGATGGAATAAAAAAGAAATTTCTTAATTTCGACTTTCTTTCTGCTCTTATGGTCATGCGAATCATAATAACAAAACCCAAAATCCTAACCAAACAACTGCAGGAGGAGCTAAATATAGTAGATGAACTTAACCTGATTGATGCTACAGTAAAAACCTTAGACAAATTCGAAGTAACGAGAACGGATTAGACTCGAAGATAGAGGCAATGGTTGCAATTGGAACCAAAGTAGGAATTGACGTAATGGCAGAATACACTCGTCATCATCGATCAAGAAAGCCACCCAAACGAATTGGCGAGCATTAGGAAATAAAAACAGAAATATCATTTAAATATTTCTACCGAAAGGAAATGTACTTGGTTCTAGACTCACTTATTATCGAGTATACAGATAACATTAAAGTTTGCATCGAACAGATAAAATCTCTTAAAAAGTGCTTTCAGCTGCCGCTAAAAAGGCCAAGGCTGAAACAGATAATGAAATGTGTAGTCTTTTTCCACGGGCGGTGAAAGATGTTGATGCAGAAATAGTGCTGTTTGAGTTGGAAATTTTCAATAATATTGAGTCATCACAACTTAAATCAGAACCCAAATCCCTTCAAGACATTGCGTTATTTGCTTTCAAACGCAAAAAAGTCTTTCCAACGGTGTGCAAGGCGTATCAACTATTGCTGACCGCTCCAGTGTCTGTAGCAAAAGATGAAAGGTGTTTCAGCATGCTTAAGATAGTCAAAAACTGCTTGAGATCCGCAATGAAAGATACGCGATTAAGTGACTTAATCGTTCTTGCATGTGAAAAAGATCTTACGGACAATGTTGACTTAAATGGTATTTTAAAAAATTGGGCAACTGCAAAGATGCGAAAACTGCCATTAAAGATTAAATAATACGCTAAAGTGCGTTCTGCCACAAGCAAACAACATATATTACAAAATACATGTAGATCTGTTCAATCAACCCAATATTTTATTATTGCATAAGTACTGTTCCATATGATCTGCAGTGCATCTTGTGTCCTTGCAGGTCAATTTCATCCCCAGCCCCTCTCCCCATTAAAAAGGTGCTAGTTTCGCTCCTGGTTTCATGAGGCCGGTAAGCAACGTAATATTGTTTGTTATTTAAAGTGTTCAGTGCTCAGTGAAACTTTACTACAGCGAGCGAGTTCGTTGTAACTTAAAACTTGTAACGAGGAAAAGCCAACTGAAAATTACACTGTATGCTAAAAAGACAATACAATAAGAAAATATGACGAGAAAATATTCAAGCAAAAACTTTTCTTACATCGGAAGGTAAATTTTCAAACGGTGTCCGACAGTGTTTGTCTTTTTTTTTGTCATTTCAGTGGATTTAAAGTACTTTTTACAGAGCGATAGTCATTTTCATCGATTTTGATACTGCTTGAAATACTAAATGGTTGTCATCTCGATATCAATAACTGAATATCCTTAAAGACTTTGATATGTTTTAAAGGAAAATCGCAGCTTAAGAGCAGATAGACTGTGTGTGACAAAAATATATAGTAGCTATATTTAAGATGTTTTCATTCTATATGTAAATTTTGTTCAATGAAAATTCATACCAACAAATCCTTTTAGTTTACTTGAAAAACGTAATAATACTTTTGCACTGAGGATGATGTAGAATTGAAATAAATACAATTCAAAAGATTTTCTTCATGAAGATAAAACTGACTAGTAAAATGAAATCAACTGAGGTCAAACTAAAGATCTAGGATCCAAAAAAATACAAATTGTTTATAAACACGCGAGAAACACTAGTGATGACGAATGATGACGACAAATATTTTTTGGTTTCAATTTTTGGCTACAGTTATCATTCCAGTTATTTAAATATTGAGTTCACTGTCTTTATATAACTCAATGGTCGAGAGTCTTTACATCGCTTTGTTTTTTAAACCAATCAAATCGTGGTTTGATTTCGTTCATCACGAAAAGGAAATTTCGGGTATTATTCAACGAAGTGATATATTTATGAACAAAAACTATGACTTTTTTTCACATTTAATTTCAATGGAATAGATCTGTTTAGCGTTGGCAAGGTGTAAAAACCATTGATATGTATATTACATGTATCACACATTTCCAATATGGTGAATGCAAAAATTTGAAGCCGGAAGTAGACAGCTATAATTAGATGCGCCGTCATGTTGAACAGTCACACTCATAATAATACTCTATAGTAAAGAACCACCATGGTCTTTCAACGTGCATCAAAAATTTTTTTAACACCATTTAAGGGATACTATCGCAAGAGAATGCTTCTAGCTTCACCTTGAAAGATATTTTAGGGTGCATTGGTACAATGCGCTCCAAAATTCATTGCTATCGTGGTTCTTTACTATAGATTATTATTATGAGTGGGACTGTTCAATATGGCGGCACATCTAATTAAAGCTGTCTACTTCCGGCTTTAAATTTTTGCACTAACGATATTAGGAATGCACGTCCTTGTAATATACATATCAATGGCTATGGCCAATGATTTAGAACCCAATCCTCTAGATGTCTGCTATCTACAGAGTAAGGTGAGGCTACGTCATCTTGAAAGATGGAAAAAGCAAAAGTCAAAATAAAAAATAAGTCAAAACAAAGTTTAAAAAACCCATCCTATATAATATTTTAAGTATCAAACCTAGACTATCAACTTTGCGACTCTCAGCAAAAGCAGATATTAGTCGCAATTATCTTCAGTTTTGCCACCTTTCAAGATGGCGGCTTGCCTGACTTATTACTTTACAATTTCAGCGGAGTCAGATATCTAGTAGATTGGGTTCTAGGTCATTTGCAGTGAACTGTAACATAAACTGGAACCAAAAATCCTATAGTTTTGTCCCCTGATTGGTTGAAGCCAAACATGCAGCTAAATTTTAATCAACTCCCCCTGAAATAAAACGTGCTTTGATCATTGGCTTTGATTGTTTTCTTCGCGACTGACTGACGTTCGTTTTGGATTCTTGCAGTTAAAAAACGTGAAAAAATTATTTGTTTTTTTGACAGATTTTGTTCTTTAAAATAGCATCTACCATACTTAGTGTATGCTAAAGCAAGATATTTTTGAGGAGAAAAATAATCGGCAAGAATCGAGGACGAAAAAAATACAAAAAAGTATTTCAAAATTTTGAGGATTTTATAAAACTAATAGTGTATGATTCACGTCTTTGTACGGTTTAAAATAATCTAGTGATACCTATATCTTATTTGTTAACCTACAATTTTCCTTGTTTATTTATTGTTTCTTTTAACAATACATATATGTATTGTTAAAGGGCCAAATTTGGCCCCTCTTTAAAGGGAAAAAATTGGCTCTAAATTATGGGGCCGTTCTGGGGTCAATATTTTGGCCCCATTTTGGGGGCTAAAATGGCCCTTTTCTTTTTACTGTGTACCAAGCTTACCGGCTCGTTTTATAAACGTGTTTTTTTCCTTTCTATCTTTTTATACTTTACACAGACAGCATAAGAGCTATATGTTATGTATTTAAAATATAATCTTGATTTTATACGTTTACATTATTAAAAAAAGCTTTTTAAAAACTCTTTTTGCGAGGATCTTGAACGTTTCTTAATGACACTGAGCTGTATACATATTTGTATTGTGTGTAATTCATGGCATGATAAATGCTTCTACGTATAAAAACGCATTTTTCTCTTTTGCAAATGGCTCAATTTTTTCTAAGCCTTGTAGGTTTGTGTATTTAACATGGAAAAAAAAAATTTTGGTGGTTTGAACGTTTGGCTATGCCTGGAACTTTCAAAAACTCAGAAAAAGCAACAAAAAATCGGGCGGACATTTTCTGATTTTGGACTTTGCTTTCAAATTTTTCAGGAATACTATGACTTTTAGCCAATTTTTTTCGACAATCTGTAAATTCGACCAATATTCTTTAAATTTAATAGTATTTTGGAAAAGTAACACAAAGTTTACTTTTAAAATTTTATAAATATAAAAATTCCATTTAGTTTACAAAAGGACTAGAGCGACCTGCATGGCTGCCATTCATCTGGCTTCAATTTCCCCCCTGACTTATCGTTCCAGTTGTTATTACAGTTCACTGGTCATTGGCTATGACGGTCAATAAATAATAAGAATAAAATTTGGAGTTTTCTGTCCCTTTGAAGACAGCCATGAAAGATCTACGATTTATCAGAAAAATAAAAGGAAACACTTTGCATTCACTTGATCAGAATGCACAACATTTCCTTTAGAATAAAGCCAGCGAGCGCGATTCGACAACCTTTTCGTTTGATTGTTATATTAATAAATGCACTCCCGTTCGTGTACATTCCTTGTTTAATATTTGTGGAAGGGGCTGGAACAAGTCACTTCTTATCTCACAAGTTCCACTAACCCTTTCCAACAGTCAGTGCCATATATACGCTATATACAATAATAACTAAGTGCACAAATAGTTTTTCCTCGGTAGCTTCCCAGCAGCCAACCAAACTTAACTCAATTTTTTTCATAATACACAACATACGATTTACATTCTCGAACCTCTTTCTTGAAGAGCCTAAAAGAAAAGACAGAGAATACACCATTACCAACCTGGCATACACGTGACCACGTGACAAAAACAGCATTCACTCGGACAAACAAATCGCACAAATTATACGGAGAATTATTACATAAGCGTTCATGTTGAGAAGAAAAAGTGTTTTTTCGCGAGGAAGTACGATGTTTAAATAGTAAAGATAAATCCTTTCGTATCGGTTATGTTATTACATGTACGCTAGTGTAATAACAATCCACATAATTTGTTCGATTTGTTTGTTCGAGTGAATGCTGTTTTCACTACGTGCGTGGTCACGTGAAACGAATATCCAGGGTGGTAAAGGTGCATTCAGAATGAGTACTTTTAACCTTTTGTACCGCAAGATACTTTTTCTTATAAGTTTGATTAGGTTTCTATCGAGATTACTATTGTGCACAACGCACAATTAAGGGTTAATTCGCTTTTCCTATGATACAACAATGAACTAATGTTGATATAACAATAGAAGTATATTTGTTGATGTAGATCTTCCAGGTTAGTAAAGTCCTGAGAAAGACTGTTGGTGTTGACCTTTGTGACAACCTTAGCGATAGTCACTTGAGTCAAGTGTGATCTTTTCAGTTGGTTTTATTCTAAGTTGGCATGGCAAATTGGGATAAAACCCACTGTTTACTCCTCCCTTGACTCTGAAGACGACTACCGCTAAGGCTGTCGAAACGCCAGTCAAGATCACCAACAACAGCCTTTCTCAGGACTCTACTAACCTAGACGATCTACATCCACAAACGTGTAACAAGACTCCCGTGTTAAAACCAATCATTTAACAATAGACATATGTTGATAAAATGATGGACAACGTTGATATTATAATAAAGAGAATTTGGTATAAAACCAGGGAAAGTAGTATAGCATCAAAGCAGGTGGTGTAATTGATTTTGTAAAAAGTATTTCTCTTATTTTAAATCAAAGGTATAAGTAAATCATCTATTGTTGTTTGAAAGAGATTTTTGAGTGCATAGGCTGGGGAAAAGAAATTCTTCGGATAGGTAATTCGATTTTAAGAACATTTGCAATATAAATGATATCACTTGGCGTCGTAAAAAGTTAAACACATGTATTGAAGATATATAGTGTTTTGATGAGTCGCCATGTGGGGTGAAAATCCCATATAGTTAGAAGTATTCATGTTACTTTCGTGCTTTGTTAAGCATCAACACTTTGATGTACTCGCCCAACACGGCTGCTTTGACAACACTTTATGGCTTTCAATACACATGTTTATAATATACAATAAACGTTAAAAAATTAAACTGTTCGGACACTATTTTGCACTAAATTTCAATAATACTTTAAGGTGTGCATACTTTGTGCACAGAATAGATAACGTTACAGAAGGGCCACTGTCGTCGGAGCCTTTGAATATCTTGTTGTCAACTTTTAGCCCGCAATCAGGCATCGCCGCCATGTTGGCAGCAAGATAACTCCAGCAAGTTCGTAATAGAAAATATAGTAATGAGAAACAGTTCGGCGCGTCCTCGACAATTATATGGCTATTCCATTTTTGTTTTGTGTATGCCATCACGAGCAATGTCAAAGAAGGTAATTTTGACAACTTAGGTCGAATCGTATCGTTAGAATACACGTTTTAGAGTGAAAATTTGTTATTGTGGTCTGATGCTTTCGCCGACTTGCCAACATTCAATCATGGTTATGCTTGTATTACGAGTTACAATGAAAAGGATCATCAACTTTGTCTATGGAATTTTCCTTGTAGTAAGTTTGTACAATGTTACAAATGCTTGACTTTAATGTACTTTCGCGATCTTTTATTAAAAGAGGAAAACTCGCGATTTGCAAATTTGATGCCGTAATAAATTCGCATTCTTAAAAAAAGTTTGACCAAATATTGCAGTGGAAACTGTGAACATGTACGGAATGGAACTGGTATCATGTTAAGACTCTTCAAGATGCTCTTTCCAACATTCAGATTTTTGGTTGTGACTGAGAAGCAATCCACGAAGGTGTCTTCAAGTTGCATAATGTAATTTAAATAGCACGATGAAGGAGCAGTCAGCCCACCAAAGTTGAGTTCTTTATATGCCTTGAAATAGCAAAGCAAATTGCCATCATTGTTTATGTTATTTGAAGTCAAAACGTTCATATATTGGAGACAGCTGTGGATTTTGAAAGCTTTGCTTAGCAAATATCCTGAAACATAGGCAGCAGCATTTTTGAGGAATAAATTGTAGCTAATATTTTGTTCTCGGTAGTGATTTTCACCAATAAACAGTGAGTCACTTGGAGCTTTTGCATGAGTAAGTGGCATACTAAATGGTTTCGGCATTGAAAATTGTGTTAGCGGAGTGTCCATATCTTTAGAGCAGTTTCCTTTGGAAGAGGTCAAAAGTGAACTGAAAAAAAACTTTCGAAAAGCTCTGATAAATTGTATTGGCGTGGGATTGTCAGAATTACCTCCTTGCTGGCGTATTGTTCCAAAAAAATTCTCTAAAGCATCTGTGTTTAATCTTCTGGTAAGCAAGAATGCAAAATTATGTGAGGCATGAAGATAGGTCCAGAGACAGATAATAGCCTTTATAGATATAAGCCATCCCTTCAGTGATTTGATTCTGCCTGTGATGTTTTTACCATCTTTTACAACTTTGATTCCCTGGATAAAGGACATTGCTTCTTTGAGAAAAGCAATGTGATTATTGCTGTTGCTTATTGCACTTCTTTGTTCTTTTGCTAATTTCAGTGTGGAACTATTGACGCAATCGAAAAGCAAATCAAATTTGAAAAGCAACTCAGCTGTAACCAAGGCTGATGGTGGTAGTGCTCCAATTGATGAATATGTGCAAATCGATGCAGCAACGGTGTGGCTGAATATTTGTGTAGCATATTTAACTTGAAAATTAATCTGAAAATTAATGCAGCGACAGCGATGTAACGAAAATAACAACATATATATATTAATAGAAGCAAGAGGACAATTTTATTTCCTTACAACGCAATCAATACTTTAAATTATCTAAAACATGACAAATATAAGGAACATATAGTTAAGAGCATCTGGAAGTTAGCTACAATCATACAATATAAGAATTTTCCCAACACAATATGACATTGGCATTAAATACAATTGCACAAGTTTGCAATTTCTCAATGAACATTTATCGAGTGTTCGGGATATGACTAAATTTGTCTGAATTCTAAAGCACCAAATCCAATGTCATACGAAATATCTTTTTTAGTGTAGCACGTCCGTTGATAAATTTCAAATTGTTCCTTCTTGTTTCTGATATTAAAGACGTTTGTAAAGCGCTTCTCCGCTTCCGTTCTTTACAAATAAATAAATACGAATAACCTTGACCACACGGCCACGGCACAGCATTTCTCATACAGGTCTCAATAGAATTGTACACATTGGTTGTACATGAAAAAGCATAAAAATATGTTGATTGTATGTTCCCATTTCAGCACGATGCTGAGGGTAGGTCTTGATTGCCTTTATTAACCACAGCTTTGATTTGGTCGTCTCAGGATAAATATTTCAACTTTTCAAGTAATAACGCCAAGATTTTTGAATTGTACATTGCTACCCTTATTTAGTGTAGCAAGTTTATCTTGCTGCCAACATGGCGGAAGTAGCGCATGCGCATTAAAATTTAGGACCGCATTTTTCGCTAAGTGGCCCTTCTGTTATCTATTCTGTGCTTTGTGTAACGATCGTGTTCTCCTTTTTACGTCACTTCCGGCGCTGAGTCACCTATATTTAAGACCGAAAAGTCCATGATAATGAATTTTCCAAGTATCAAATATATTGCATATGTTCTTAAAATCGATTTAACCATCTAAAGAAGTTACTTTCCTGACGCTGATGTTAACATTTTAATAAAAATGTGAAGAATACACGTCCCAGGATAGCCAAATTCTAACTGACAAAAAAAACTTACTAATAGAGGATACCTTTGCTCTTGCACTTTGCGCTGATGCACCAGGTTCCTCGGATTCGGTGATATCTCTTGACACGACACAGAGAAACTCTGCTTGATCTTCAGCACCATATTGGTAATTACTACCCACACTTATCAACTGTTCAAATTTCCATCCATCAGGCAGTGAAGAGACCATCTGGGTGAGCTCATCCTCGTGGTACTGTATGACTCTGTAGACATGCTTTGTTGAGGTCTTCTAAAACAAATGAAGCATTTAGTGGCAGCAAGATACGCTGAGACTCAGCAATCTATTGTACATCTATTGGCGCAATTGCCTCTTATTCTACCCAAATTATTTCACATCAGAAACTTTCAGACACGCTGATCAATACATTTTGTAGCAATATACGATGCAATACGATTGAGATTGCATAGAAGCGTGCCCAAACACTCACAGTTAGCTCCACGGAAAAATTCAATGGTTGAAAATGGGTGAACTAGGTACACAATGACTGCGGGTAGATAGTACTATCATCACAATGACCAAGGTCATAAGGTATCATGCAGAAAATGACAACAGTCGAATAGAATTGATGTATTTCAAACTGTGACCAGATAATACATTATAAAATAGAAACAATAAAGCGCGTGCGGTGATTGGTCTAGAACCGTGTTTTCATCAGTGAGCTCAATAATTAAATAAGTGGAATGATAACTGAAGCCAAATATTGAAGTCAAAAAAATATCAGTCGTCATCATTCGTCCTCACTCGTGCGTTCATAAATAATTTGTACTTTTTCGGATCTTAGATCTTTAATTTGACCTCAGTTGATTTCATTATACCAGTCAGTTTTATCTTCATGAAGAAAATATTTTGAACGATATTTATTTCAATTCTACGTTATCCACAGAGCGAAAATATTATTACGTTTTTCAAATAAACTAAAAAGATTTTATTCCAAAGCCATCATCAGAGTAATATATTAATCATAACATATTAATCCTAACATAATATATTAGACATAATATATTAATCCTAACACAGTTTTTAATATGCACATAAAAAACATGTGACTTGGACGAGATTTGAACTCGCACCTTCGGGATACTAGTCCTGTCGGGCTACCAAACCCACAGGGATTGGAGACGAGTCAAATCTCTTTTAAACTGCGTATGGACGAGAAATTCTCGCCACTATAACAGTTTACTGGATGGCACTGTGTTTCGACTTTATTCCAAAGCCATCATCAGAGTATATCCATAATACATTAATCCTTAAGATCCCCTTAGATCGTCCAAGTCACATGTTTTTCATGTGCATATTAAAAACCGTGTTAGGATTAATATACTAAAAGGAATTGTCGGTATGAATTTTTATTCGACAAAATTGACATACAGAATGAAAACATCTAATAGCTACTATATATTTTTGTCACACACAGTCAATCTGCTCTTAAGCTGCGGTTTTCCTTTAAAACATATTAAAGTCTTTAAGGATATTCAATTATTGAGATCGAGATGACAACCATTAAGTATTTCAAGCACTATCAAAATCGATGAAAATGACAAAAAATTTTCACTCTGTAAAAAGTAAAAATGCTAGTTATAGACTGAATACTTTTAATGAAACTGGAAATTCAAGATTCTTTTTTCTTCGGAAAAACAGTTTATTAAATGCATTGAAATGACAAAAAAAAGACAAACATTATCTGACACCCCTTGAAAATTTACCTTCCGATGAAAGAAATTGTAATTGAAACAACAAGAAATAATCAATGTAAGAGTGAGAAATAACAGAACAATATTTACTATTATAAGGCATAAGTGTCTTTTAGTGTACTATAATGAATCAATAATGTTAAATGTCAATGGAAGACACATCAATAATTTTTTTTTTTTGGACATCATCATACATTATAATGATGTCTGGTAAAGACAAGAGGTTAGATGTAAGTTCATCTCGTGACACAGAGCGAAGATCAATATCTCGTGGAATAAACTGCAAACTGCGGTATCTTGTCAACATTCTCATTAAATATACACAAACTGATTGTATCTCCTCGCTTTTTTAAATTCTGACAAAAAACTTTCAAAAACCACTGCTTCTTACATGAAGCAACCTTCTGAACCATGTAACAAAGTCCACAATGAGCAATGTGTTGTTTTCTTGACGTTTTCTTGCAATGTGACGACTTTTTTCCCACATTTAAGGCATGTTACGTAGGGTGAAATGGACTCTACTCCAAGTATAGTCACTGGCAGTTCAATTATTGATAAAGTATGAAGGTCTTGTGCAAGTTCTTTGGTGAATTCTTCAACTTCTTTGTAAGAAAACAGCTCTGATTTTTGGGGTATTCAAATACCTGCTTCCTGCGTTATCTTGTTTTAAGCGAAGATTCTGCAATAAATAAGTAGAGCTTTCTTCAAGACAATCAATATAGTGCTTCCACAGATCGAGTTGGATTGACGCAGTTGTGTCCACAATTATAGCATCTTGCTTTTTCAACTGACGATTGAAGTTTCTGGCTGTGGTATTTATAATATTGCTTGCAGTGAACTTAGTTACTTTGGGTATGACAGTCACCAGTTGCTCTTGTGATACTTGGCGTAATGATGCAATGGTGCAAGTAGATGAGGATTGTAGTTATTCATAGTCAAATGGAACTTCAAGGGTGGTGAGAGTAATTAGTGTGGTTTTACCAATAACAACATCTGCCATATTTGTTGGTGGTTCTATATTGCGAAATTTTGACTGGGCTTTTTTCAGTTTGGAACTCTTCTAAGGTGGCTCTTTTTTCTGGTGAAAAGCAAACAGCATTAGTAGTTCCAGTTAGTGTTTGCAAAATCATGTTGAAGTACTTGGAAGTCCCACTTCCAGACACTTTTACAGGTGATACTGCATGCAAATAACACAGCATATCCTGGTTTGAGCTTTTAGTTGGCGCTACAAAAAATATGATGGAAAAACGAGCATTGAAACACTAAAATTTATTTTGAGAATTAATCACTCATTGAATTTTGAAAACATAACTAAACTGAACATAATATAAATAAACTATTACTTACAATTTTGCTCAGTATTCAGAACAATCTTTAAGGAAAAGAAAAGTAGCCTATTAGTACATATGTCATTTACTATATTATCTAGTATAGATTCTGTTTTGATACGAAACATACTAATAGTCTGTCGACCTGACAGGTTTAAGTGCCAAAATATGAAGTTAAGGCTATCTTTTTCTATACGCAAGCCAGGCAAAACGTTCCTATATGACCTTCCTAAAGGAAAATGGTTTTTATTAAAACGTACCTTTTTCAAACAGTGCAAACAAACGTTTATAATGGGATTTTGAAAACACGAGGTTGAATTTCCAGACTTGCGAAAATAATTCTTTCCAGGAGTTCTTCCAAGGTTGAATTTCCAGCAGTTCTTTCGGACTTATCAACATCTATCCATGCTTTTGGAAGAGTTAAGCCCTGGCTCTTATGAATTGTTAGAGCCCAAGCGAGTCTTAGAGGCAGCTTTTGCCTCTCATGAAAACCAGTTTCAAACTACCAAGAGACTGTGATTGGACATATTGGAACACAAAATGGTCTGTCTACATTATAAGCATGACCTCTATAGTTCTCAAACTTAATCATGACTGCAATAGGCAAGTCTGGTGGTTGATGGTTGTCCTGAAAAATAATATCAACAACTGTCTCTGTAGCGTCCAATACAGTCCAAAGCTTTGACCTTTTGTATTTGGAGAACATGTCGGAAAAATTCTTGGTATAACATTTTCAGGCAGCTTTGCAAGTTTGACTTTTACTACTTTGTACGTTGTAGCAAATTGGACGAAGTTCATACTCAAAACGTCTTGTGAACTATCACATTCATGACGATTGGCGTATATATCAAGAAGAGAACGATTAGTGCATGACTCACCTTCTTGAACATTTTCACGCACTATATGTGAACCATTTAGACTTACTGGAATCACATTAAATGATGAACTGTGAAGTTTCAGTGACAACAAATGATGCATCGTCACTTGCGCTGCATAATCTCTTTCAACAAGAGATTTCCTGACGATTTTTAACAACTGGATGAGGCTCACTATTAACATCTACATTTTGAACAACAAAATCGAATGCTTGCGTTAATAAAGGAGATCTTAGTTCACCATTAGCTGCATGTTTCGTGAGATATTCCACACAAGCATAGTGATGGATTACAACTTTGATATCGCAAATTGGCTCTCCATCCTTGGAGTTGAAGCTGTTGATGATTATTCAACCTTGCATCGTTCGTTTAGTTACAACCTTTGTCCTGTAATGATTATCACCGTGTTTAATGTGAATTTTTCAAATTCTAATTTTGTCTCGGCACGATGTTCAAATGAAAAATGAAATCGACATTTCAATTCTTCTTCGTTTGCCTTTTTCGAAGACAGTCACTTGTGCTACAACGAGTGTGTCGTCGAGCCATGTTTACAAAATCTTCATAATCTGATTGTTTCTCATGTTCAGAGATATCTTTATGAGGTCGTCGACATGGATGAACCTCAGGTCCTATCCAAATGTCTTCATCTGGTGGATTTGAATTAATGGTTGATAATAACCAATCAACATACTGACGCACAGTCTCAGCAGCTCTGTGACCAGCTTCAATGTCCTGGTCTAGTTCTATTGTATCAGAATAATCATTTTCATCCTTAAATTCATGTGCTAAGAAACCTTTTAAGGCAGTCTCAGAAAGTTGACACAAACCTGGGTAATTTTTCAGCTTAGCAGTTCCGTGAAAATGTATACTACCTCTACCTTGGTACTCATACCTGAACCAGTGCCATTTTGCCCCATATGTTTCATAATGCCAATGTTTGATAAAGCTTTCTAATCTCTGTGTGAAAAACCAATCTACAAAATGAAGATTTCTTATGACATTTTGTCGCCTTGTCTCATTGGTGGTGTGAGAACTTTTACAATCAGCATTAGCGTTAAATAATGCATGTAACTCGGGCCAATGCATATCTACTGAGGAGAAAGTAAAAAATAATGTTGGCGATCGAACATTTGTAATAATGGCTTTCAGCTCTTCTCGAATCTTATTCCAGTAAGCATTTGAACCTGAAATATTTGCAACATATCTGGAGAGTTTAGACATAAAAACATTAGCACTGCTACTGGCAGCCATTTGACGCAGTTTATCGATGGTGAGATGAGCTTCACCTGGATTTTGCCTCAGGAATATTCTACTTTGCTGTAAAAATTCGTTCT